TTGCTGGGGTTTTCACCACCTTCTTCCCTCCCCCCTGCCCACCCTAACTTCTCTTATTTTTATGTTGTCCAGAGAGTTTTTTCACAGACAGTGCAAGGAAGGGGGAGGAATGCAAAGAATGAAGAATTTAGCCTTTTCAGATTTTTGTGGCTGCATTCATGAAGCAACAACTTGCGTTCAGTCAAAACTTCCATACAATGGAAAGTGAAATCTAGAAAAACAGAGACCACACCCACGGGCAAGAGTGCTTTAATTTAGCGTTTGGAAAACTTCGAGGACACATGTCAAGCCAACAGCATCTGGCTGTAGCTAAATCGCATAACGGCTTTCACAAGTATAGTCAGCTTTTGGGCATCTACTGCCTCTGGGATCAGCAGATAAACTTGGAGCATGGCCAATTTGAAGTACTGTTAGAAGCTGGCTACTAGCCTGAAGAGAAGATGCATGGTACAGCAACACAATTTTGAATATAGGGCAGCAGTTCCCTCTTCTTTGGTGCTACCACTCTTTTGGCTTAGGAAGACAGACTGATTAGAAGAATAATTTTTCGTGGTGTGCGGCACACCTTTGCAATTTTATTGTGGAAACACACAGCAAGACAATAGTTTTAATAAATAACACATGGATACAACTCTATCTATTTCTGTATTTTAACCAGAGTGTATTGCCAAACAGTATTCCATAAATGCCCAAAGCATTTATGAATGGGACAATCATTCTTCTGCTTGGAATGTTCTAGGACACACTCCAAATTAGGAAGAGCTTTGGAAGGAAACAATGGAACAAATGTAAGAAAACATGTACCACAAATATGGGGTGAGAATTCTTCCCACCTGTCTTTAGACTTCTAAAACATAGAGAAAAAGATATGCATTAGACAACAAATGTAGCTGCCTAAACCAGGTCTCATGAACTGCGTCCTATAAATGCTTACTTTTCTGCATCAACTATAAAGTCACTAGGTGACTATCCTAAATATAGATATCTAGAATTAGGTAACAAGAATTTCATTCCTTTTAACATGGTCCTCACAGGGCCAAAATTGGTCAAATTCCTGTAGCTTCATCCTAATCACTTCATAACCCATCACAAAAATACCATAGGTGGCCTAAACAATGATGAATATTTGACATAGCTTGCAGCATGGCACAAGCTGGACGAGAAAAGTGCTGAGTACGCTTACATCTTCCACTGCAGCCTTCAGAAGCGTTTCTCAATTCCTTCTTGGTGCTAAGCTCTCACATTGCAGTATCCATGAGTAACACTTTGTACTATCTCCAGCTGGCCTAGGCTGGTGGAACTTACTGGCTTCTATTATTCTTGTCTTTGCCACCTCTTGTCTAGACTAAAACAATGCAATATTCCTGGGCACAGCGCCATCAGCCCCATAAGAAATTTAGCGCTAATACAGAATTCTGCAGCAAAATGCCTTCTCTAGTAAATTCATAAAATCTTCCCCTTGTTCCCCGTGCTACCGATCTATAAAGTATTGAGTCTAGTTTAGGGTTTCAGTTGTTATTTCAGGAGCATTTAATAGCTTCAGCCCTGCATAAGGACCACATAAGTGTCTGAGAAAAACTATGATTAACATGTCCACTTTTAATGCAAAACAGAACTCTCCCTCATAATCATAAACCTCACCTGCAGAGGTTTCTTAGGGAACTTACTTGATTTTGTGAAACAAATTTCCAAGGAAAATAAGGACAGCCAGAAGCCCTCTACCACTCAAGAACAAGACATACCTCCTCAAATATGCCAACCCTAAAAGAATAGTACTGCATGTGCCTTTTAAATATCCCCAAACCCAAACAAACTGCACACTGCACATGCAACATTCCCATGTGAAGAGAGGAATAAGGGGAAAGAACAGACTATGCATAATGAATGTTATGCACGTTGCTTAGCGCACTTGTGGAAGGCACTCAGATATGATGATGACAACTGTGGTATAATAATCCCTGTAGAATAGAACAGAATAGGACAGCACTGGTAGACAAATTTTATCGAGAACTTACTTATAATGCAGCACAGAAAAAAGTTGTGAAGGCTATGCACAATTTGTTCATTAATTAATAGACAAATATGGTAGTCCTAGATTATGCAGAAAAAATTACTTTAAAAGAAAATTATAGTTCCAAAATGAGGAAATGACAGGCCTCAAGCTGCCACTGTAGGCATAAGTTTCCCAACTTGTGTGTATGGATGGCTGAGCTCCAGAATATAGAGCTTCTAGATCATTTCAAACTAAAGTTTGCAGAACTTCTTAGCGTGGGAAAAAATGTGTGTTTCATCTTAGCTTTGTTCTTACATATGCCTGAATAGAACTGTTCTGACTAAAACCTATCCCTCAGAAATTGTGCCTCAGGCAGACATCTAGCATGGAAAACTTTAACCAAATAGTTAAAATTTTGTAAAACTATCCATAACTGAAAACAGGATCTTATCATGGGAAGGGTCAAGCAACTGTAATAACAGGCACTGCTACCCAGCCACAGTAGAATAACAAACTTAGGCCAAAGAGCTCAGAACAAGTATATTTCCACCCTGAGTAATCTGCTTCTGCAAAATACCACACTAGAAAATGGCTTGTTATCTTCAGCATTTGAATCTTGATCTGCATACAAAAATTTTAAATTCATTTCTTCATCTGAAAGACTACTCAGAGTTTGGTTCCAAGTAGCAAACCACTATGTCTGAATAACTATTCCAGTAAGTGAAGAAAGACACAGATCATCTTTGAAGTGGATGAGAAAAGGCAGATGCATTTTACTTGGTCTTCTTGATCCCTGCATGTATGGCAGCACCGGAACACTTGCCAAGTGGAAGATTTTAGAATTTTCTAATTCTTGAAATCCTCAGCAAAATCTCAGGAGGAAAGCTGGATGGCATCAGTTGTACTATAACTGAATTCCCAAACATCTCAGAGGGGAATTTAAATACTCTGTATGGAACATAGAAGAGCTGCTGACAAATCATTTGCAGTTAAGCAGAGAAGCAATGAAATGTTATTGATGTACTCCCTAACAACAGAAAGGGCTGTGGAAGACATCTTACCATATCTAAATGAGATGACTGAGAAATCAGACTGGAGAATAGAAACTAACAAAAGATGTGAATGAAGAATAGTTTTTCTTACATCATTAATCCTGAGAATAGGGAACAAAATCAACAGAAATGATTAGCATGTGTGCACAGAAAGGCAGAGAAAGATCTATTTTCTGTAGAGGAGAAAATAAATGATTAACATACTGTTCATAAGGAGGATCATCAATTTTAAAATATTTACATCTCAAATTTTATATTGACCATAGTTACAAGAAAGCCCAAACAAAGCTGTAAGTGGAAGAAGCACCAGAAAAAAAAAAAATCGTTTAGTCCTTTCAGGTACTTAATCGATCCCTTTGCGCATAGTGAATTTCACTTTACTGTTCTTAACATTGATATCGTAACTTGAAATTGCAAGAAGAAAGTAGGCACAAACAGAAATGTTAGACATGTTACATTTCAAGAATAAAGATCTGAAACTCAAGACCCAAATTTAGGAGCCTGAGTTCAGCATCCATATCAGCTGATGATATTAAGCTCATAAAAGTACCCTTTCTACACTGTTTTAGTTGGCAGTAATGTTATCATTCCTCTAAGGAACACAGTACACTCTGAAATTAGTATAAACAAGCATACAATTAGCGGCAAGAAAAAAAAAAAGAATAAATAAAGAGTGTCACAACCACAAGTAGGAGTCCAGAAACGTACTCTTAATTCTAATTCTTCTCTCTTTCCTACCTAGAGTGTAGAGGTAGAAAGAAGTCACAGCTTCTCCCTGTTTAAAGCTCTTCTTTCTGTAACACTGGAATAATAATGCCACCTAAACAACTAATCTTTTGAAGAAAAGTGCCTTAAATGCAAAGTCTCAGTATTACTTTAAACTAGGACAAAAAAAGAACAATCATTGCATAATCCTAAGCTCCAAAATATCTTTTATCAACTCATATACTTTTTAAGGCATGTTTTATATTTTCCAGTCTATTTTGATTATTGCTCTTATTCCATATCTTATTTGTAAGCTGAATTTCTGTAATGACTCTTCAAGAAAACTTTCTAATCAGTGATTTTAATATGTTCTGTAGATTAAGAAACTTGCTTTTTGTAATTAAGAATGCAATACTGTCACTGTCAATATTTTCCAGGATACAGACAGAGCATGACCTGAAGATTTAAGATCTGTTATATCACAGAGGATAACAACAAAATGTTAAGAGAAAATAGCTTAGTACAAATTACAAAAAAATATCACAAAATAGATCAGTTAATAATTTTGAGAGCATGATGAGATGACACAGGGATGACAACCCTCACATTCCCTTGTGACAAATAATGACTCCTAGTATTTCAAAAACTTGATACTTGGGGATGTTCTCTCAACTACAATGTTCATGCAGTAGTCAAAGAAATCTTAAAACAGACATCTGTCACTCAGAGCACTGAAAAGAATCTATTAAAGCTAACATAAAATATGCTATTAGATCAGATTATGTTTTCTTTTAATATGAAAACCAGCAGTTCTGTTTACATTTTGTTCTCAGCACAAAAGGATAATCTCATTCCAGATATTCAATCAGAGATTAATCTAGTCTTCTATACTCAAACATCTGTCTATCTGGTCTATCTATGATTAAAGCTGATATTTAACACAGTATACTTAAATTACAGTCTTGACACCAATGGCACGATTCAATTTGCTTAAATTAACCATGTGCTCAAGTGCTTTACCAGCTGCAACTGTCTTGACAGCATACTGTAGATGTTACAGAATATTTTGATAAGATTGTCATTGCCAGCAGAACACAGTCATCAAATTGCAATAATCTGAAAACAGCTATTATGAGTTTGTTGCAATTTTTTTTTGTTTTTCTTTTTGATTTAAGATTACAGTAACTTTTATGCATACTTTAGATTGAACCACAGTACAACCGTTGGATAGAAAGCGAGATCATGCTCACCATTAGCATCGTGGGAATACTCTATTCCAGAAACAGTGCATCTTCGGAAAACCATCTTATTTTCAGTAAGGGTCCCAGTCTTGTCTGAAAAGATAAACTGCACTTGACCTAAGTCTTCTGTGATATTTAAAGCTCGGCACTGCAGCTGAGAGTCTGTTTCTTCATCATATAAATCTTTATCTTGATGAATAAAGTATACTTGGCAGATTTTAACTATTTCAATAGATACATACAAAGAAATTGGAATCATAACCTAGAATACACAAAACGAAAGAGAATTAGTAGAAAATAGAAGCAAGGATACAATGAATTGGTTAAAATCTAACTAGAACACAAGGAGTCTATGTACTTTAAGAGTTTAAATAGGCCCACAAGCCTACGGTAAAGTTAACTACAATGTTTGAAAAGAGTTTGCTATGTTAGATTGCGAAAGCCTATGGTCCACATCCACTATTACGTCTGGAAGGGTGATTATCTAAACATGGACAGTAGTAAACCTTTTTTGGACTAATAAGGCAAGTTTGAAACTAGCTAGGAAAGGAAAAGGAACAGATAGGAAAAAAAAAAAAACAAAACAGAGAGTGCAGTCAGAATCCTGCAAATGTCAAAGGATACTTTGCGTGTAAAAAAAGAGATATATAATCCAAATTTATTCTGCATAAATAACACTGCTCACAAATTCACTCTGCAGGAAAGGAGAAACAAAATGAAAAGTATAAAGTTCTCCACAGAAACAATCTCTTTGGCCTTGGCTTTTGCACTGCTGTTTATTTGAATGAAGAACACATTTTATAATTGCCGAAGAAAAAGATTTGGTAAGAAGCTTCTCCAGAAATGATTTTCAAAAGTTTCTTGAGGATGGTCAAAAGCCCATGAAAGACCTAATTCATACCTCAGTTTTCCCCTGCAGATGGTTTTCAGCACAGAAATTCCTGATTGCACGCTGTGTATTGCTCCATTAGACATGAGGGATAAATTACAGCATGCATATAACTGGCAAATGTGGTTGCTTAAAGAAAAACTACAGTAAAAGGTGGGTGTTTTAAAATAATTCTGTGGTGAACTTTACTTAACCAGTATCATAACCAATACCTTAGAGTAAAAAGTCATCTAACTTATCCTTTTTCATTCCTCTTCTTAAAGGAGTTGTTGCCTCCATTAACAACTTTCTCTAGTGCCTCACTGAGCCTACTTCTACATGTCCCAGTGACACGGATCTCTGTTACTTCTCTGATCACCACCTTCACCATTCAATATATTTCTCTTCATCATCAGAAAACTTTTTACTCATTTTGTTATTCAGCTGAGATATGCAGTTAAGCTATATACTATCTTTACATTCTAATGTATCTTTGGGAAGAGATTAGAAAAGCTATGTATCGACTCATGCTCTTAAGCAGGCAGTTTACCCAAAGCTGCATCCCTAATCTTTGAGGTGTTCTTCCACAGTGAGTAGATATGAAGCACAAAGCTTGTTTTCTCACAAGAGAAGCCAGTGCATCCTATCTCCTCCTATTTCTTTAAAATAAAATAGAATAATCGGATTTTTGCGGGAAGGTTCTCAGCTGGTTTTCCCTTCCATAGTCAATGGAGCTCTGACAGTTTTCTGCGTGGATTGTTCTGTTTCTTTTTCAGAGAAGTTTTCACCTTTTTACGACGTGGTAGACCTTTTTTTTTAAATGATGCTGTTTTATTTTTCTAGTAATATATTATCACATTTCCTATAGTTATAATTAAATTTTGAAGTGACTAAATGTACTTTTTAGTGCTTGGTTAGCTCCTCGGGTGCCTTAGTGGGAGAAGGCATACTGCACATACTGCACATTTATAATTGTCAGCAAACTAGGAATACAAAAGTCAGCACGTACAACTTGGTTACCTGAAAAACTATTATCACTGTCAGAAATAAATATACTGAAGCTAGAACAGGAGATAAATATTTGCCATCAGGCCCTGGAACATCAAAAATTGGTTTCCTCTTCTCACCATATTGCCATACCCATAGGCCATGACCTGCAGAACAGTTCAAAGAGAGAAAAATGCAAATAAACTCCAAGAAAAAAATACCTAAGGTATGAATGTGTACTTTACAATGAGTTATACAGACAAATGATCTTTGTTTTCATCTACTCTGTATGACTTTTGAAAAAAGCCCCCAAACCTTCTGGTTTTTTTTCCTGCATTGGGAAAGAAGTTTGTCTGTTCTTAAGGACATTATGTAAGATTCACTTCACGTAACTTTATCCAAATAAAATGAGCTGGCTAGTCAAAATTGGTAGTTCAGGCTCTTTCTGCAGAGAAAATAAGGCATTTTCAGAAACTGATTTGTTTCAATGGTATTAGATAGCTGTGTTAAAATGAAAGATGAACTCCACTAGGTATTGCTAGGCTAGTTTCAGCTGGATAAAGTCAGAAGAGACTTCTCATTTTACCACGTGAATCTTGCCCACCACGTCTCTGGAACTAATGAAATAACAGCATCAGCAGAGTCATCAGCATGGAAGCTGAGGAACTAAGAACAGCAGACCTCAAACCCTTTTTTAATCAACTGTGCTAATAACTAAATAAAGGCAAGGTTGTCATTATTTTGGGAAAACAACGTTATTCTTAAAGAGACAGCAAGCTGCCTTTTTAAGTACAGTGCTAGAATTTGCAGTTAGCGTCTTCTAAGATACACAGCAGCTTCTTGAGCTCATCCAGGAGAGACCTAAAATGGTTTGCCTGACGTTTTAAAGGTTAAAAATGAGGAATAATCCCCACCACCACAAAAAAGAGAAAAAAAATAAGAACCATTCAAAACATAAGAACCATCAGAATCAGCAGAAAAAGGGCAAAAGCCTACTTCAAACATATTTTTTGTAAGTCACAACTGACAAGATTTTAAACTGTCCCTTGAAACTTGATAAATAAAACTAGTATTGAACTCTTAATAATTAAAAAAAAAAACTTAAGCCAAACAAGGGAAATTATTTCTTCCCTGTATTACCAGTACAAACACATCATTATACTAATGTCTTTCTCTATACTTAGCTGAGAGCAAAATTTGAAGTCCCACACTTACAATGAACTATATCAAGACTTGTTTTATAAATATTCTGATTGAGATTTTCAACAGAACTATTGAGCGTTAAGCCTCCTTTGCACTTTCCTGATAGAAAGTAAAAATAAAGCCTAACTGTTACATAACACAACTTTGCATTTCGTGAAGCACCAGGCACTTCTGGTTTCTAAATGCTCTAGCAAATGTCTCCAGTTGTTTTGGATGTTATCACCTCTAGCAGTTTGCACAGTCCCCTTGCTGGTGGTTACTAGCCTTGCAGCAAGAGTGACAGAATGAAAGGTGTATCTATATGTCACCTAGACCCACTCACATTCATAGTCCTGCATCACAGTATTTCAAGCTGAACCAAAGCTACTGTGGCATCTACCCTGCTGAATGTGCTCTGGGGCAATCACCTCTGATGGAGTGGCAGAGTGGACAGGCGCAGGCACTGACCTCTGGCAATTAAGCCTACCACAGCACTTCATCAGAGCACCCAACGTCAGAGCTCCCTGACACTGAGACACTACAAAAGGGTGTTGTGAACTCAGTGGAAACAAATACATTCATTCCCAGCTCTAAAACCTTGTCTTTAAGTAACACTGAACAATACCCGGAAAAAGGCATACAGAGAAGAACTAAAATGACATAAGACTGCTATTAAACCGCACCATGGTTGTTAGGAAACATTCCGGTGTTTATGCCCATATTACTCACACACAAACATTACAGAACACATAAACATCAAGAATATGGAATTCATATGCAATATATAAACAACCATTTTTGATACCAACTGTAAAATTCAATTCTTTCCCACAGATGAATAGAAAAACAGCCTGAGGAGTTTTAACCTGAACCTCAGCATTTTCTTAAACATTTCATGAAGTCTAGAGAGTCTTCTAATTGGATTTATGCAGATTTAGACTTTTATGTATTTCTTCTTTGTTAAAGCTGCAGCCTTAGGGACAGTCTGTAAATGTGGTACACCGTGCCCTTGATTTACTAAACAGTAGTGGGGAAGAGCATTGCGCTAATTAGTTTACCCTCTGCTCATACATTACTTTGTTGACTGATTAATGGCATGTTACACTCTACCACCTGTAATTTTAAGGGACCTGCATATAAAGTGACTTCTTCCGCACTTCACATTTTCTGATGCTATCAAGGGTAGTAGAATCGAAGCATTCATCTCTCTGGTACTAATAGCATATATCTGTTTGATACTAAGAAGCAATTTAGATGGGCTTATGTATCAAGACATCTTGATTTCAAGGAAGAAAGAAAATACAACAAAAATTAGATAGTATGGAAGCAGCTGTATGGATTGTATGTTTTGGCAGATACATTTTTGATAAAGCAAAACACATCAATCCCAGGAGAGCCTGGTACTTAGGCTGCTATTTTTAAAGAACACTTACCAATGGCAGAAAACAGACACATGATTAGAAGTATGAGGACACACCAAAGGACATCAGCATTCATCTGTCTTTCAAGCTTACTGCGTTTGTAGCGGGGTCCATTATTATTTAACAAAGCTTTGGTCTCATGCCCTGCAGAAGCAATTGCATCAAACGATGTAATATGGATTTCTGTTAGTATTTTAAGGAAACTGTAAGAAAGGCAGTGCGCCCAGGCAGACAGAAAAAAAAAAAACTTCTACCTGCATAGATTACTATTCCTGCCACTTCTTCTGTATTTCTAATAGTACATCCACGTAACAAAAGATTTTCTTTGAACAGTCCATCTTTTTTTCCACTTTTATGTATACTGTAGAAAATTTAAAAACAGAACAAAGCACAGCATGTCAAAACATTAACTTTTTAAAATCTTACTACTCTTCAATACAATAAGTCCAGGAAACATCTTCAAAGTTTAATAAGTCGTGTCAGCCTGATGGTGAAATATTTCCTTAGATGTGTCCTCTTCCTTGTCGGAAGATTCTCTGGCAAACTTTGAAAACTGAGAATACCTACCCAAGAATCCCAGACCTCTGGCACCCAAGTTGGAGCAGTACCAGTAGCCTTGATTAGGCTGCTGAATGTACAAATGTACTGGATAAATGGTCAGCTAGAGATGTGTAGGTCAAATGTACGACTTTGAAATGCACTGGACTTTCTGCGCATGCACAAATTGACTGTGCAATCACAATTAACCCAGTCCATCTAAGAGCAGCTGTACAACACATATGATTTACACACTACACGTCTGTGTAGAGGAAATCCTAGAAGAAAATATGGTGAACCTGGGAAAGGGCAGTGTTTCAGAAGCAGCGACACTAAGGAGGATGTGTCAGGGATAGTACATGTTGGTTCAGTGAAAGGGAAAGGGAGAAAAATTCCATGTGTTCATCAGTGAGAACAAGAGAGATTCCTTTCAGAGAGTCTCACTGAGTGGCTAAGAAAGAAGAAATGGCATGCACCCTGAGGATGATTCTTGTTGACTAGCACCAAAACACATGAAAAAAATGGCACAAAGTAACATTTTTCCAGTACAACTTCTAATTATCTGTTGTATATGGACTGACTCAAATTTCAGTAGACAAAGAAGAACAGAAAATAGCCTTATGAGAATTAACTGCCACAAGGGAAATGCTAAATAATAACAACAATTAAGAAATAGCATCAGAATGTTTCATTAGCTAAAAAAGACAAATCAAATAATCATTCTAGACCTCCTCTGAATGAATAAAATTTCATTTAATAGACTGCAGTATCCTAATGCCTCAGCGCAGATTAAAGGAAAGTCTGCAATATTTAAATGATCAGCCTTGACTTACAGAGCATCAAAACTATCAGGCGTCCAAAAATCCACTGCAATAAAAAACTAATGAGAGCCGGGAGTTTTATGAGAAATCCTGGAAAAATGCAATGTGCTATAACAAAATTAACAATCTGATTTAACTGCTCTTGTTGTCACCTCAAACTTTGTGGTTACCTGCATTTGAGCATTTTGAGCAGCTTGTGTCCCACAAAATCTGTAAACTGGCTTAAAATTGTAATTTTTACAAAAATGTTGAGTTCTTTTTTATTTGCTTCCTATTTTCTGAGCCTTCATACCTGAGATGCTTTTTAATGAAAAATTTAAATTCAAACTTTAGCACATACTTTAGGATCTCAGGCCTGAAGAACTGTACCAAATATCCTTAGATATGCAAGAAAAAATGGTGATAGTTGGAAATCCTATGTATTCTCCTCCTGTGTATACTAGTAGGACTAGCTGCAGATTAAGGAACTGGTTATGTTAAGTAGCCTGTAGTCAATGCTTTTAGTGGTTAGAATATACCCATAAATTTTTTACACACACACACACACACACATACACACACACACACACTTTATGTATATATATGCAGACACATATACCCAGTCGTCTTTATTTCAGGATAATGTATTATATCCCCTCCTTGCTTCTAATAGTTCACAGTATAAATTAAAAGCATGGGTGTTTCAACAGGTATGCTTAGCTTTTCTCAGTAGAAGTGGAGAAGAAGCGATGGAGTTGAGAACTGAGGTGGCTGCAGCAGTGATAACATCTGACTAGAGATCAAAAATGAACAGAGGAGCAAAGAGCTAGATAACATCAAGTTTGCAAGTCTGATGCAGAAGTGAAGTTTTTTCTTCATTAGGAGAGAATTTCCCTTGCTCAATTCATCTTCCCTGAAGGCCTCAGATATGAGAACCCAAGTTCTGCTTTTCTCCTCTTCAGCAAGCCTCTTTAACCCACTGCCTCACCTTTTGTCAATGGAGCTTCAAAAATTGGGGGCTGCCCAACAGTGCTCTTGTAGCACGACAGTACCTGTAAACACTGATTGCCAGTCTGAGAATTACCTGAATTTGGCTGGGCTTACACTTTGGGAAATCGTTTCTTGACAAATACATAGTGCAGAAATTACAGTTATCAGTATTCTGCAATTCCTCTGCTTTTTAGTACTGAATTCTTCATTAGCCTTTCTCATAAATCATTAAGATGTTAGTTTGAATTTCCAATAAAGTCTCCAAACCATAGTTACGGTTCCTCTTAATACAGAGGCTTTTTAAAGATAAACCTACTTAAGAAGTAATCGCTCTGGCTTATGAATTTATAACCTTCAACCATTTGTTACACTTTAACAGTAACAGTGTACTGTGATAGGTATATTGTGCATGATAACCTTTATATGTAATTAATTGTATACTTGTTCTATACAATTATATATTTGCTCTTATTATCTTGGCTTATACAACATCTGAACCTACTCCACAGCAATGGTACAACATCTGAAGGTGACTATTTGGTGCCAAGACCCCAGTCTACTGCCTTCAGTCACAGACTGAGCCTTCTCAGCACAGCTCATCTTATCCTTATATGCATCTGGCACGGCTTTTTGCCTTTTCATTGCCAAATGAAGTTGCCCAAATCACCTACTGCTCACCCGACCTTTAAAAAACAGTATGGATAAAATCAGAATCTGTGAGACATAAGCTGGAAGGACTGAAACTCATTGTTTCCTCCTTGTCTGCATCTCATTTCTAGTGACTCACTGACAGAACATACATGCAACCCAATCAGGCACTGACGATAAAAGGAAGAAAAAACTACAGACATGAAGGTCTGGACTGAAAAACTTAAAAGCCCTCCAGTTAGATAAACCACTCACTTTGATAACAAACCTGCCAAGGCTACAACCTTATGTTCAGATAGCTTAGATCTCATTTCTAGCCCTGCAGAGCTATAAGCCTTAAGCCTGTTACAGAGGTTGAACAGTCTGTTTTTCCCCTTTCTGGATTCAGGCCAGTATAATTTTAGAGGCAAAGAAGAAAACTCTTCTCTGTCAGTATTTAAAACTGTTGCTTGCTGAGGCTGCTCAGAAGCTTGGAATGTGAAGGCTAGCCCACAAGGAAATGTGTTGGTGAGCACAGGTGCACTACCCCTTTATCTCTGCAATTTCTCACCTGGATGTCATGGCAAATATGCAGTACATAAACATCTAGAGTACACATGCACCACATATTATGAGAAATGGGCTTACCAGATGCGGTTAGCTACTACTTTATTACAGCACTGAAAAAGTGTTTGCATAGAAATAAGCCTCACAGTAACTCAAAAGTGAGTCTTACGATAGCTCATTTCAGCCTCCTATGGCATTTTCGCTTGTTTGTATACTGGCATTAAATAATACAGTGAAATATCAAAATTGTATTCAAAAAGGAGTATTTTCTCTCACTCTCTGCTTCCTTCAGTATCTGATAAAGCAAACGGTGTGGCAGACATTACTTCCCGCTACTTGACAATCCCAAAGAAAATATTCAACAATCTTAAACCTCATCAGCCCCAGCGCTTATCATTAGCTCGAATCTTCCTGACTCTGAAGAGGCTGTGTCATTGCAGCAGGTCAAAGAGACATCAAGGCACAGATTTATACTTTTTTTAATAAAAGGATAAGTCTGATTCATATAATGATTTTATATTAATTTTGTTTTGTAAACTTATGACAAGTTTTGAAGTAGAAATGCACACATGCATTCACATATTATTATCACTCCTTGCTATACTCCTTTTGGTGTTTCCCAGGCAAGTCTTCTGACATCACATGATCAAATGAAGATTTCTGTTCTTGTCTAAAGTAACAATAAAAGATCTGCTTTTCAGAGAAAAGCTAGAAAGCCGGAATGCAAACTACCCCATCTCCTTTTCCCTTGCACATACCTGCACAGAAAGAGCGAGAAGAAACTTTAAAGCCAATTTTGTTATTTTTGGAATCTGGTACAGGATTTCTGAATGTTTGCCATACATACTGTACATAAGCTGACTAGACCCATACAGGCAGGAGGCATGCTAGATTCTACTCTATTCTTTTTCTTATTCCTTTTCTTTAGAGGACTTCTTCTAGGGGAAATAAAAATGAGGAAACATGCTTGGGATACATGAGGGTGCAGAAATTGCAAAACAGTATTAACGCAATTGTTCGACTAGAACAGGCGGTCTGTCTGCCTGTCTGTGCACACAGAGAACGCTCAATGCAGGTTGTGCAATATGACTGAAGAACTCATATGTAGTAACGTGCATGCTACACAGATGCAGACATAGTAAAGTGTATGGCCAGGCCTGTCTCAGAGTGTTTTGTAACATTTTTGTTCTTGTTTTATATTATCGCGTCTCCTTTTACTCTGGCCTGCCGGTGTTACATCGGTTATCTGTAGTGATCCCATTTTGGATTAACTGTGGGGAAGAGATTTTCCCCTCCACCAAACACCTGCTTGCAACACACACACAAATATTTCTTTCTCCCTAAAAAACTGTCAGCATAGCCATTTGAACCAGAGGTGCTTTTCATATTTCAAGTAGAAAAAAATAATCATCTTCTAAAATAGAAACCTACTAAGTGGTCAAAACTTCAAAGCAAACTTTGACAGTAATGGGTCAGCACAGCTTTTACACATGGATCTCTTGAAAGCCTACTATTTCATAGCATCCCTATTTAAATATTTCAATAACATTTCTTTTTACTTGAGCTATTACTTGATCAGCTGAGAGCTATGTGAACCTGTCTTTCAAGCACCGCCTATCAGTATGATTTTGATCATGATTATCAAGATCTGATTTTGACATGGAAATGACATGTTTCAGTACAGATATACTAATTACTATTCATCTTCCTAACATATGATTTGAAATAGACCCATGATTTCTTAATACTAATGAAAAAAATCTAAAAAGAATAAAAGAAGGAAAGAAAAAGTTTATATTTGAGAGTCAGTCCCCACTTCTCACTTCAAAAGCCACACGCTCTTTCAGTTGTAAATCTCTGGCAGCATAGCTGATGAGACCTGATGCTTTCCGCCATATTCACAACTGATGTCTGACCTTTTGCTATGTCAAAAACCACCCAACTCATTGGCAAAACATTAAAATGAAGAGAAGATAAAATATAATCTATCTATCTTAACAAAGGGCTTCCATGTTATTTGCTGTGTAATTTGAACAGTTCTGGAATTTAAAAGCTACGTGCATTTTCCACATGGAGTACCTAAGTAAATACACAATGAAAGACAAACTTATGCATGTATCTTGCTGTATTCAACCTTTGTTCAATATTTTGGAGATTAAGATTCACACATATGAAGTGTGCTAGAAAAGCTGCCAAACTTTCCATTTTCGTATCTGGAAATGTCATTTCTGCAGCAGAGCAGGCTCGCTATCATTGTAGACAGTTACACACCCTCATGCAGTAATGTCTAATACTGAACTTTTATCTTTAAATGAACTGTGGGGTTTTGTGCTGTTAAGTAAAGCAACACATTTTCCCACAGTACAACTTGATGTAGCTTCAAAAAAAGCTTCCCTCATTTACACCAGTTGACAGTACATCCTACACAACCTGTGACACATGAGAGTAGTAACTGAGCTGGTAAATAGCATCACCATAAAAACTTCCCAAGCCTCACCAATTTCAGTTCTTGTGTCATTTAAGCAATTCAACCTTGCCCATCATTCCTAATCCATAAGGATAATAAACCATTGTATTCTAAACAGAACTAGTGCGCGCTTAACTCTTTTCATCAAAATTTACACAAAGAATTAAGTATCCTGGTCTCTCACCCTGCATGTGGTCACAGACTACAGAAAGAAAAGTCATGCAAGAATGCATCTCCTAAGTCACCACTACTACTGGCATGCCCACATAGTACAATCCTGGCTGCATTAGAAGCAAAGTGCTCTGCACATATTAAACATTTGCTTCTGAGCACAACTAATGGGCCAGAGATGACCACCCTGTTAAGGCAGTTCTGTTTGTTTAGAATTAAGCCAAGTGGCTGTATGTGATTCTGCACGGTGATGTACAAGCACACCCATAGTGTGAACCAGTTGTTTTATTTTGTCTGAATGAGAGGAAGGGAAGAACAGCATAGCTGGAGTACAGTTTCACCTTCTGCTTTTCCTCAGTGGCTCTTATTTTAAAAGAAACATCAAACAGACACGTCTTCATAAAAATAATGCACAGCAGACTGTGTTTGTTTGTTGGCTCTTTTGGCCTGGTTTTCTATTTCCTCACATTTCCAGATGGTCTTTTTTGATCTGTGGAGGGAGGAAAAGGAAAAAGAGTGCCTGTAACTTCACTACTTCATGCATTTGTAACTGATCAAGGCTGGCAACTAAATTCATCCTAAGGAGTGGATATGTGAGGCTCCTATGTCTCTCCGAAGAGAAGTTTCTCTAAAAGAGCTTTGAGTATCCTTCTCTAGACATTCAGAAGTGACGATGATGTAACTTGCAGAACACAGCAAAAACCAAAGCAGCGTGTATTTTATCCCAAGTTAGAGAAAGAGGGAGTGTATACTAAAGATTATTATATGAAATACTCACATGTAACCTCGAAACCTACTTAAGTCGTTGTTTGGCTTCTCGCATTCAATGACACTGGTGAACTTCAAGGGGTCAAATTCTGAGTCCTGGAATAGTAAAAGTATTAATTACTTAGTGCAAAGATCTGCAATTTATAGCCAGCATTGCTTTCTTTGCTAGCTTTTACAATATTTCAAAGCTAAGGTTTTTTAAAAGCACACGAATGACACTGAAAATCAAAGGGACCTGGGCAACGAAATTCCTCAGGTGCCTTGAGAAATGTCCCTTACAAAAATGATTTTTGTTCCGCAAGTGAAAGAATGAGAGTCTCAAGAAGCATTAGAGAAAAAAAGCAGCCAAACCCAGAGGTCAAATGAATTTAGTCTGGAGGGAAAAAATCAAATTTGTCTGGGAAGGCTCAAAATACCCAAAAGCTTCACTATACTTAACATTCAAGTGAAGCTACTGCAAATTTAGGACAATATCAGCCAATAAATTACCAGTTATGAAAAGACTAATATGAGTTTTTGAAATATTAGCACGACTTCTTAATTGCTTTATACCAACACAGATAAATTAATATACTACAGAAAAGTTGACACATACAGAAGAACATCTTTTTCCTAATTAACACTTAAAAATCTTCCTGATTCTCTAGCTAATTAGTCTGAAGGTGGTAGTTTTGTTGACTGTGTATAGAAGATGTTTATCTGTAGTTATAAACTTCTTATGCCTGAGGAAAAATGTCCTATCACAGCACAATTATTTAATTTTGTTAAATAAAAATCAAGGCTCTTCCTTCTTCCAAACTAAGACGGATAGGCCAGACTAAATGAACTACACAGTGAAATCAGTAGAGATGCACAGTCTCAGTGCTGCTGAGACAGCTGTTTGTCTCCATCAATGACGAATGCCTTTAGAAAAGGGCTTCACACACCTTTTGAATTAAAAAAGCTAATTGTGGATCATCACATTATTAAGTTTTCAACAGTGGTAACACTGCAAACGTTATGTTTTTATACTGGTTCTACTGAGCAGCTGTAGACCCCTGACCACATTATGGGAACAGCCAAGGATCAGTAATCAAAGGACAAAGACACAGTCCTATTTGCCAGCCTCTCTGAAAAACATACGTGTCTCAAAAAAAGTTTTTTTTAATACTGACTCCACTCAGAAGACGAGAAAGAAAGCAGATTTTAAATAAGAAGTAAAAGAACCAGAGGATGTCAGCATCACCATCAACTGCCTCCTTCATTTTTCTACCAGTCATGCTTGGAAAAAAGACAGATTTACAGTATATAGGGGACAATTCAAATCACCCACGCCTGACACCTTGGGAAACCTTTACAGGATTTTCAAGAAACAGGAAATGATAAGCCCACCGTGAAGATGGGCCGTCACTTAGAGACAGCTACAGCCCACTGGAAGAAAGAATTACTTTTATATGCAGAATTCAACTTGTAAACAGGAAAAAAAAAAGTAGTGAAAACAACAGGCAGCTCTGAGGGAGGAGCTTCCCTCAAGGAAGAGGGATGCTATGCCAAGATTCAGACTTCCTAAATTATGTCAAAGTAGGCAGTCAGGTACCTGAGCCTTAGGAAGAAATCCCTATGGTCCTCTTAGCACCACATACTGTCGCTACTTAAGCTCATTAGATGTTTTTCCTGGTCAGCCTTAATTTTTTCTCAATGACTGAAGTTTGATGCCGGGAATGCTCACAAGTACCTCGTTCTAGGGAGGCTCCTGAAACTTCACCAGGCTCTAGAATGCAGCAGACATTGTAAAGTGGCACATTCATCCTCTTTGACCCTTATTCCTCAGCCGCTAACCTTAGAGCGGCAAAGACGTTTGCAGTCACAAGGAAAGAATCACTGGTGAGAACAGCTATCAGCTCTGATTTGTTTTGCACAAATTTTCATTAGGTGGTCTTAAAAAAAAAGGAGAGAAATCTTAATACCTTTGATGAATGCCTCAGAGAGAACCCTAGAGATACCTAATAACAAAGGCCGACCTAATGAAATGAAGGTTTTCTATGGCTGCTGAACTCAGCAAAGAGAGCCTCGTTTCAAATCTATACAGACACATTAACTTCTACAGCCATTGGAAGTTTACAGACTGAATTTCCTTTCTCCTAGGAATACCTGACAACAAAGCCAGTAACTTCACAAATAAAAAACCCACACCTTTACTACCTAGAGCTAAAGTCTTCTCAAAACAAAGATCTTGTCAAGATCAGACAGGGCTAAGCCGACCCTACTTCCACATCGTTACTATACAACGTATTCTTTCCGCTCTGTTTGTTGGATTCTCTTCATTTATGATTCAGTTTTGGAACCAAAAGTCCGTTATCATGAAATCTAACTCTCTGTGTATTTGTGTTCTGTTACAATTAACTTGAAACATGTGATAATGCTCTTTAACCAGATAATATCTGGGAGGGGAGAAATTCAATTAGAATAGTAGTTTACATAAGGGAACAAAGCTGCTAACTTCTGATTTACGGCAAAAGCTCTTTGTTTTATTAATAAACCAAACAGCTCCATCTCTTCCTTCTGAAATGGAAGTGTAGATGTATGCTGTATTACATTACAGCTGATGACACTGTTCTGAGGTAAGAATGCCTTTTGGTAAATGAACGGGCAAATATGTAAACACTGCCTGCGTGGGACTGCTTTCAGTGGTTATAAAGAAACACAAAGTCAACATAAGATTTCACAATGATCACGGTTTTGTTCCTTTTTATGCTGTTACCCACACTTTAGCAGCAAGTGAAATAAACCATGATGGTGCTTTCATGTATTAACAGCTAAGGGAAGCTGTAGCTGTAGATGAAGTAAAAGTGTTGGTTTTACAGTGCACAAAGCATCATTTGTGTTATTTTCTGGGTACACGTCCATGAAAAAAAGAAATACTCTGCCACTACTTTTAATTTTTCTCTTACAGGGGATTTCTCTGTCACTGTTAAGACACACAAAACTCAGCAACAAAATATGGACCAAACCAGTACTTCCCCAGAACTTTGTGTAGCAATTGCCTGATGTGCCTAATTTTCGGTGTCTTACTTTTCACTTACAGAACCGCTGGGTACTAGAGCTGTCCCAGTCTTGAGACAGATGAAAAGCTCCATGCCTAGCTTCACTGGATCTGTACTGAGGCTTTAAGCCTCAATTCAGTGCTTAATTTCCCTGAAAACTTGTCTTGCTTGGTTTTCTCGGGGTCTCCCAGTGCTCATCAACAAGATCAGGTCATTCATAAAAAGCAATTGGAGGCATTTTTTTTTTCCTGGAGGTATGTGATGATGTCTCATCTATTATATGATACCTTTGCATATTTCCCAAATTTGTGCCTTATGCACTGTTGATTTGAACAACTGACTTCCTGGTTGATAAACACCTGGGAGAGATTTGCTGACTGCAAATAAAATACGCCAAGTACTTCACAAAACTATAGCAGGGCAAGTGGCAGGGCTAAAATATGTTCATGTCAGTCAGATCTTTTTCTTAACCTGTTTTCCCTTTGCTAAAATGTAAATTTTAATTGTCAGTACCAATTCTGAGGTTGAGTCTCTGCAAAACAGGATTAAGGCTTTACACTTAAGGCAGAGTTCTTACTGCTAAGTAGGACTTTATTAGGAGCACAAACTCATCGTTGTTAAGAAATTGCAGAAAACTGTCAGGATACGTGAAGGTCACTCGGGGAAACAAGAAATCTAAAATCTAAAAGGGGCTAGAAAGTTTCTGTACTAGTTTCAGTGAGTGCTGACTTTGAAAAAGCTGACATGAGCACCATGTATGCCAAAGTCTAAGCAAAGTCAAGCATATCCAATTTCTTCAACAGAAAATAAGAAACAGCAACCAGAACTCAAGAGTTTCTACTCCCGCATTAACGGCCTAAGGCTGCACAATCATATTTCCACTTGTGCTCCCTCCTTCCATTCCAATGAACCTCAAATTTTCTTTGAGACTGTGAAAGAGTTACAATATGAAAGATGGAGGATATTTAGGAGTCATGAAATGTGAATTTGCTTTCTGTAGCGCTGAAACAGGAAATGAACTCGATTCTGTTTTTCCTGGGGTAATAAAACCAGTGTAAACCTTTCTGTCCATGCTGCTCACACTATCTTAGCACTCGCAGGCTGTAACAAAATGATTACCTTCATTGCAACTGCTGCAGCTCTTTTCCAAATTTTAGATATTTTCCCTGCTTTTTTGACACAGCAAGCACAGATGCAAGCACTGTTCATACGGGCTTCAATTTTGTGCTCAGTTGGTCTTTCAGCCTGGTGTTTTTCCTCCTGTTGGGTTTCAATTTTATATCATGATCATGGTACCAGAGCATCGCAACACTGCAACAGGGGTTCCAAGCTGTACTACATGTGTACTGATAAGTTACTGACAAGTAATGCAAGTTACTTCAAACAGTAAACACAAAAATGTGTCTGGTTGCCTTTTCTCTGGACGATGTAGGGAATGGCTGGCTGGTCAGTAAATGTTGCCAGAATAACTGAATGAACACAGGCCTGCGCATAGGGGATGAAAAGATAAATTTGGTGGCATGCCTTGTCCAGTGATGTGTGTGGCCAGGCAAAACACCGGGAACCTGTTGCTACTACTATCATGGTACAACACAGTTCTCTTAAGTCAGAATATGGTCTTGAAAAATGTGAAACAAAGGTTTCAATCACTTCTTCCCATATTGTTTGAGAATTTCAGAATTAGAAATACATCATTTCGACAACCATGCATGCATAGAAACATTTATCTATATCCCCACGCTCTGGGCGTTTATGTTTTGTATTTTGAAAGTCAGTCAGTGATTATTATTAATCCACTTCACTCCAGCGCTAAGAATTCTTTTTCAGTAATACTACTTTAAAAATAGGTATTTTAGGTTTCTGCAGCATGAAATGTTGCGCTTACTGAAGAAAAAGACACCTCACACGAGCGAGGGCGACTTCCTGCTTAACTCTTATGCCGCATCATGGCATAACAAAACGAGAGAAAGGGAAAAAAAAAGAGAAAAAAATAGGGGGAAAAAAAAGAAGGGTCTTCATTCAAATCTCACTTTCTTCAAATGCCTGACTTTCATTTTCATTTCACTAAAACAA